CAAGATGTGGGCAAGAGGGGCAGCCCAAGGGAAGGAGCCCCAGAAGGAAGCCAGGCTCACCCACCCTTGGGAGTGGGCCAGCGGCAGAACTGGCCGAATGACATCAACACCACTAAGACTTTGGCGCTGGGTGTTGAACCCGGGGCTTCACACGTGCTGGGCAGGTGCTTCACCATGGAGCCACATCCGCAGCCCTTTCTATTTTTTTCTTTTAACTTTAAGTCAGGGTCTCACTAAGTTGCTAAGTCTGGCCTCAAACTTGCCATCCTCCTGCCTCAGCCTCCCAAGTCACTGGGATTACAGGCTGTGTCACGGTGCCCAGTTCCAGTAAGACCTTATCAGCCCACACAGTGCTCCGGGAGCAAGTAGATTCTCTGAGCAGTAAAAGACTCAAGGGTAGAGGCAGCAGCCATGCACAATGGCTGGGGCCTGGGTGGGCAGCTTGTCCAGGAACAATATCAGGGCGTCTGACAGGAAGGGCTGGGAAGGGGTGGGGCCTACCCATCCACTCTATCCTCCCCAGGGCCTTTGCACATGCTGTTTCCTTTCTTCCCCCTCATGAGGCCAGCCCTGCTCTCTCCTAGGGTCAGCTCAGACTCACCTCCTCTGGGAAGTCTCCCTGACTGTCCCCACCAAGGCCACTCCCCCAGCTGTCACTCGCTGTGTTTCTTCATCTTGGCTCTATGGCCTTAGCAATTAAACCGTGCAGTGCTGGATTCTGACATCTGACACCTGCCTGCCTTCCCCAGACACCCAGGCTCCCGGGGAATGGACTGTGCCCGTCCGTCTGTCTGACTGGCTCACCACAGCATGGCTTGTCCTGTAGAAGGACCTCGGTTAATGGCTTAGATGGAAAATATCCTCTGCCCTGAGTCGGGGAGAAAGTCTTAGAGGAGGGAGAGGCCCCGAAGGTCCTTTGGGATTGAACTTGGAGAGCTTGTGCCTCAGGATAGGTCAGTTGAAGTGTTGCTGGGGCAGGCGGCAGTTGGGGACAGATTGGGAAGGGTCAGGGTGAAGAAGCATCAGAGGTGAAGACCCTCTGTCCCCTCCTCGGACTCCTGGGGTCCTCCTTAGCCTGGAAACCACCCTCCCCCTCCGGGTTCCGTCTGGTCTTTAGTGAGTTGTGGAGGCCAAGGTCCTACCTGGGGCCTCCAAGAGAAACAGAGGCCGGAGCACCAGTGCCCACCTGCTGCTGCGTCACGCCCCGGCCCCTGTGAGCCTCCCCTTCCCCTTCCGTGTGGGGTGGCACGGAGCTTCCCCTCCGCCCAACCCTCTCATGCCTGGTTATTGTTCCCTTCTGACCTAAGGCAGCCACCATGTGCCAAGGCCACCCAGTGCCACGCTGGGGTGGAGCTGGCTGCAGCCGTCTGCCCAGGACTGTACTTGCCCAGTGCCCCTCAGCTCGGGGCGGCAGTTCCAGATGGAAGATGGGGCCAGGGAGTCCTGGGAAGGTCTGGAACCTCAGGCAGCCTCCGAGGACAGACTGAGGAGGCTGAGAGCCAGACCTGGCCCCTGGAATTGCCATTGTGGGGCTAGGCTGGACACTCAGTCCCTGGGCAGGCGACAGGGCTGTTTGAGCAGTGGGCCAGGAGCCCGGAGCTGCCTTCCTGTGCGGTCCTGCCCCTCCTCACTGTGGGGCTGGGTCGGGTGATTCCTCCCCCTGAGCCTCGGTTTCTCACCCTTTAAATGGGTACAATGATGCCTGACCCCAGAAATCCCACAGAAGCTCTGCTGAGCTCCCAGAAAGGTGAGGCCATCCTTGTCAAATTGTCCCTGGGAGAAGGGAGGCAGTCACCTCTGGGGATGCTGAGGTTAATCAGAGGCCCAATGTGACTGGCCTGTCTCCAGCACTGTCCTACTTCCCTTTCCTGGACCGGAAGCATCCTTCCCACCACTTTCTAACTCCTACTCGTTCTTTAAGACCCACCTCTCCTTCCAGAAAGCCAGCTCTGCTAACCCCTCCCAGCCTAGCAGTGTGTCTCCAGGGATGGCCCAGCATGGTGTCTACGGCAGGAACTCTAGGCAGACTGCTGGTCTCAAGTCCTGGCTTTTTTTTTTTTAGGAGGGGAGCAGTACCCAGGTTTGAACTCAGGGGCACTTGACCACTGAGCCCCATCCCCAGCCCTGTTTTGCATTTTATTTAGAGACAGGGTCTCACTAAGTTGCTTACCACCTCACTTTTGCTGAGGCTGACTTTGAACTCATGATCCTCCTGCCTCAGCCTCCTGAGCCACTGGGATTACAGGCGTGCATCAGGCATCTGGCAAGTCCTGGCTTTTTTACTGCTTAACTGTAGGACCTTGGGCAAGTAGCTCAGCCTCTCTGGGCCATCATGTCCTTCTCTGAAACAGGGATTTCAGTGCCACCCTCACCAGCTCTTTGGTGCCTCAGATATGATAATGCATTAAGAGGTCAGCCGGGTGCCGGGCACTCCAATAGATGCTAATTGCCACTGGGCTCTGGGCAGAATTTCACATGGTGGCTGAGTGCTTGCCCCGTGCTGGGCACCCAGGGCTGGGCAGGGGCTGCAGAGCCCAGCCCCACACTGGAGCAAATCCTCAGCTGAGCTGGGTGGAGATGGCTACCTGGTTGGCAGCCTTGAGAGTCAACAGCTCCAGGCAAAACGAACATCCGGGTAGGTGTGGGGGGACAGGGGCAGGGACAGCCCCGGATGCAGGTCTGTTTGCTCCCAGGCCCAAACCATAGCCTGCTGCAGCCAGCACCCAACCCTGCTGTCCAGCAAGGCAGGGAGGGAGGGCACCGCCTACCGTGTCATCCTGAGGCCAGGCTGGGCACTGCGTCCAGGGTCAGATTTGGACTCTGCAGCCCTGGGGCTGAGGGTGGGGAGTTTCTGCAGGACTGAGCCCACCCCAGGGGGCTTTCTTGTCCTGGCTGCCTGGAGTTTCGGCAGCTCTTGGCTCTGACCCCCCAGAGTTTCCATGCCACAGATGGGCCAAGATCACAGGTCCATCTGCCACCCTGGGGCGCAGGCCTGGGTGAAGGCCCACAGCCTAGCTGCCCAAAGTGGGTGGGGGGCACCCAGCTTTTAGAGACTGCAGGTGGCACGAGCAGGCCAGGCTCACACCCCTGCTGGCCTTGAGGACCACTGGGGCTTCCTGTAACAACCCCCACGATCCAGCTGGGGAAGTTGAGGTTCAGAGAGGGATGGAACCTCTGGGAACAGGTCTCTGGCCTCTTTGTCCTAGGTAGCAGCAAGTCTGGGATCCCAGCCCCAGATTTTTGGATGCCAGCTCTAGCAGCTGGCACCCGAGTCCCCCAAACAAGAGCCCTGCTGACCCCAAACAAGGAGACAGAGACAGAGATCAGGCAGACAATGACCCAGTTCCTGTGACCAGGGCTGTGGCTGCCCTAGACCACTCTCCCCCACCCAGAGGACAGAAGCAGAGGTCAGTGTTGCTGAGGAGAACTGCTGAGCCCAGTATACAGCTGGGAAGACTGAGGCCCAGAGGCCACAAGCTCAAGGTGGACATCCGGTCAGAAGCCTGTTTCAGATCCCGACTCCATGCCTGGCCCCAGCCCTGGGCCCTGGCAGGAGTGTATCTATAGTCGAGGTTCTGTGTCCTCACCAGGGGACTGCAGCCAGGACACTACCCAGCCCCAGCACCTAAACAGGGGACAGGACAGGGAGTGGGGTCACAGGACTGGGCTTTGCCCTCTGGTTGGGCTGTGTGGCCAGGGGCATCCCTCTCTGTGCTCCTCTCAGGGACGCGGGGATGAGGGGTCTGAGACATGGATCTGGCAGGACCGTGGGGCTCATCCCGGGAACCTCAGCTGCCCAGGGCTGCCCCCTGCAGGCCACATGCAACCGTGCCCCCAATCTGCAGAAGGGAAGGGCCTCAGCTTCTGCACAGCCTGTACCACCTGTGGGCAGGTGGACAGTCTGGGCCATCTCCATGTCCCTTCCAGCTCTGGTGTCCCCCAGCCACAGCCAACAGAACCAGCACATACCCAGGCAGCCAGGCCTGGGGAGAGGTCAAACAGGACATGGGGTCAGCATTGCCAGGGCCGGGAGTGAAGAATGGACAGGGGATGTGGGGACATGGGAACAGGGGGAAGTGTTCACACAGGAACAGGAGGAAGGAGATACACAGGGACAAGAGAAGGGGGACACATGGGCCTAGGAGGAAGGGGACACACATGGGCACAGGAAGCCTCTTAGGGGAAGCACCCTGGTCTAGATCTGTGCCACTTTTCTTTACCTTGGGCAGGGAAACAGCCAGAGGCACCTCTCGGCCACCCACAGCCACATACACCTGGCACATGGTGGGTTCTGTTTCTCTCTCTCTCTCTCTCTCTCTCTCTCTCTCTCTCACACACACACACACACACACACACACACACACACAGAGTCACTGGGCCCCCTGCAGAGGGGCTCTCTCTCCTCAGGCTACCTGAGAGCCCGGATCAGCCTGTCCCCTGGCTCAGCCTGAGAGGAGGGTGCGGGGTGCGGGAAAGGCCCTCCCCATCTGTCTGCCAAGGGCCTGGAATGCGCTGACCAGCACCCGCCTAATCCCCACTCTGCCCCGTGGGGCCCACCGAGCTGGCCCGAGCGGGGCAGCCAGGGGGGCATGGGAGGGAAGCTGGGGTGGGCAGTTTGGGGCATCCCAGCAGTAGCCCGGACCCCAGAAGGCAGGGGCAGGCTCAGTGGGCAGGCCTCCCCTCCTCTCTGGGTCAGAAGGACCGGCTTAGGGCCCTGAAGAAAGAGGGGGCTGCCTTGGCCACACCCGTCCTCTAAGGACAGGGACAAGCAGCCTGCCCCTGGGAAGGGAGCTGGTCAGGCCCTGGGGAGGCAGGGGTGCAAGGGGGCTTCTTACACAGAGCGCTTTAATGGAGGCCCATGAGGGGGAGCCCGGGAGGGAAAATGTACCAGGGAAGGGCGCTGGGACCTCAGCAGGCCCCGGGGGCGGAGCTCCGAGCCCCGCCCCTCCCACCCCGCCTATATCCTCAGGCCTGCGCTGCGCTCCCCAGCTGCTGGGGCGATGGCGGTGCAGGTGGGTGACACCCAGGTACCCAGCTGGCACGTACCTGGACCCAGGAGAAGGGAAGGGGGCCTGTGGGTGGTGGGGGAGTCCCCAGACTGCCTGTGTTTCCCCGCACAGAGTTGGGGTGCGGTTCTGTCCACTCATTCATCAGACCCCAGGGTGAGGGGGTGTGGGGGTGAAGGTCTCCCCAGAGCTGCTGCTGGGCAGGCTTGCTCCACCCCACCCCCATCAGGAAGGAGATGCCTGGAGGGACGAGGTCCTGCAAAGATCACCCGTCGGAGTGTGTGGGCTGGTGGGAGTTTCCAAGATACGTGGGTACCTGAAGGTGGGGACAGAGCTACAGCCCCATGGGCTCTACCCCTCTGTCTTTTGCCTTTAGTTTGAAGCCTTCTGTGCGGGGGGCCTGGCCCCGGGCTGGAGCCTGATGGTCCAGGGACAAGCTGACTCCAGAGAGGACAAGTAGGGGCCACCTCCCCTCCTGGACCAGGGGTGGGGGCTGCCCAGCTATCTGCTGCCTTCATGACCCGCACAACACCCCCAGGTTTGAGATCAACTTCTTGTCTGAGGCGGGGGACATCGCCTTCCACGTCAAGCCACGATTCTCCAGTGCCACTGTGGTGGGCAATGCCTTCGAGGGTGGCCGCTGGGGCCAGGAGGAGGTGTCCAGCATCTTCCCACTGGCCCTGGGGGAGCCCTTTGAGGTGATGGGGACCTGGGTGGGGCCCATGGGGAGAGGGGAGGCCCAGGGGGACGGTGGTGGTGGTGAGGACAGTGGCAGGGAACAGGAGGCAGGTGAGGAGGGGGTTCCTTGTGATATCCACAAGCCTCCCCGCTGGGTTTGGCTGGGCCTCCCTGTTCCTCAGTGTCCCCTCAGGGGTGATGGGATGCTTCCTGCTCTGGCTGCCGGCCTCCCCATCTTTGGAGAAGCAAGAGGGTTCCCAGCGCAGATCTCCCATGGGGTGGGTGGGCCGGACAGGCCAGCACACCAAGGTAGATGTGGGACTGAGTGATCCGGGCTCCTACGCTGGAGCCAAGGGTCACTTTCCTGCCTGCTCAGATGGAGGTGAGCTCGGACGCCGAACACTTCCACGTCTATGCGCAGGAGCACAAGGTGCTACAGTTCCCGCACCGCCAGAGGCCACTGGCTGCCATCACCAGGGTGCGGGTGCTGAGTGAACACCGCCTGGCCCAGGTGGAGCTGGCCAAACGGAGCCTAAGCTGGGGGTAACGTCCCTGTCCCTTCCCCTGCTGCTGACCTCACCCGGGCTTTTGTCCATTCTCAGCCTGTGCCCTCTCCTGTGGCTTGGTTGTCCTGACCTGTCCCTCTCCCAGCTGGCCTTGCATATCTGGCCACAGGAGCAAGGCTGCTGTCCACATCCTGTCCTGAGTCTGTGCCTGGAGGGACCAGGGACCATGAGCTGAGGCACGTGCCTTGGATGCTTGCAGGGATGGTGGCCGGTGAGCTGCACCTGCAGTCCCAGGAGCGAGCCTTGGGCTGTCCCTCATCCAGAAGCCTGGAGCCCCCTGGAAACTGGGGCCTGTGCTTCTGTGGGCCCACCCCAACCCCACCTTCAATAAAATGTGAGCAGGATGCCGGTGCTTGGCTACTTGGGGACAGGACACGTTGAGGGAGGGCCTTACTATGCAGCCCAAGATGCTCGTTAGAGCAAGGGACTGGGGCCCTGCGACCTAAGCCCAGGCACCACCTGACCTCTCTGTCTCCAGGACCCTAAGGGTCTGGGGGGGTTGGGGTGAACACAGTCCCTCCCGGCCACCTCTGATGCCCTCAGGACAGAGGGAGCGTGTCAGGTGATACCCATGTTGGGAGGGCTCCTGGCCGTGGACCTGAAGGCCTAGCAGGCTCCTGGGTCATCCCCACCAGGGCTGCTGGTCCTCAGACCTCCTCCCAGAGGCAGAGGGGTGGTCCTGGGAGGGGCCTGGAGAGGGAGGGTGGCCAGCTGGGCCCGGCCCTGCCCTGTCCAGGACACCACCTCGGGGACCCCGAGCTTCCCTTCCCCCTCCTTCCCGTTAGGACCTTTCCTGTTTCCTCTCTTTCCACCTGGAAGTGAGACGTGCTCCTGTCCCCATCACGTCCCTGTCAGGGGGAGCCAAGGGTGGGGCTGAGGAAGAGAAGGAGCATCCTGAAGAGCTGCACAGGGACTCGAATCTGCCAAGGAGGCCTGAGCCCCACCAGGCTGCACGGCCTTGAGTCCCTCACGCTCTGGTCTCAGTTTTCCCACCCAAAGGGAGTAAGCCCCCGCCTCTGCCAAGGGCTCAGCCTTCAGAGGACGGCCCCAGAGACCTGGGCGGTGGGGAGGGGAAGTGGCTTCAGGACACACACCATGACAGCTTTCTTGTAGCTTTCATAATCGTGTGAAGTTTAATATGGCTTACCAACCGTGACCATCCATTCATCTCCATCATCCCTCTGTACCTATTATGTGTCCTGCTATCTGGGTCTGTCCTCTGTCTATATTCAACTGTTGATGTCACATTTTTTAATAATGCTCTGTGGGTAGCTGGGCATGGTGAGCACACCATGTAATCCCAGCCACTTGGAAGGCTGAGGCAGGAGGATCTCAAGTTAAAGGCCAGCCTTGGCAGTTTAGCGAGGCCGAAAGCAACTTAGAAAGACCCTCTGCTGTCTCAAATAAAAAAAAGGAAGGAACAGGGCCGTGGTAGAGCACTTGTCTAGCATATGTGAGGACCACTCACAAAAAGCCTCCATGGATCTTAACCCCTCCCAGGGGAGTTATGTCAAGACAGCACTCAGTCAGCAACGCACAGTAGGACCGCAGAGACCCCGAAGCCCTGCACTTTGGAATGGCAGCCAGGTTTGAGTCCTAACTCTGCCTCTGGATGTGAGACCTGGGGGAGGTACCTGACTTCTGGGGCTGTCAGATGGGGACATCACGGGATGTCCAGCAGCTCAAATGCGTTAACTCAGGCCAGGCACCTGACCGATGGCTGGCACGTGTCATGCTGCCATTACTGTGTGATGAATTCCAAGTGCCTTGCCCTTTAAGGTTTTCTAGATGGGGAAACTGAGGCTAGGAGGAGACAAATTTTGGCTGCAAGGTGGGGGTTGGCGTGCGTGCGTGGGGGTCCAGTGACATCTGGGTCTGCAGGTGGGCAGAGTTGCTGGGAGCCACCAGTGACCCCCACCCCCAGGTGGGACAATGGCGCCTGGCTTCCAGCTGTGCGGCTTCCTTCCTGTCTCCACTAACTTCCCTGCCTGTCCTCGGCCCAGCTGGCCAGGAGCCCCTTCCTGCCGCCCCTGTGGGAGCTGGGCCTTTGTGTCAGCCAGGAGGGGTTGGGGGCATGAGGAAGTATCCCGACCAGGCCTGGCCTTGGGAGGGACTGGGCGGTGGGGGAGGGACTGGGCAGTGGGAAAGGGTTAACCCACCCGGGTTGGGGGGGGCCTGGGTCTGTGACCACACTTGGTCACCCCAGCTCCTGGTGCCAGGCCCTCACCTGTGGCTTGCTCAGTCTCTCTGGGCTGAGTTTCCCTACAGGGACCCCCTCCTTGTGAAGCTAGCAATGCAAGGTGTGATCATGGAGGAGTGCCAGATGACATCAGGCTCTTTCCTTGCTGGGGGGGTGGCTGAGCCTGGGGACAACCTGGAGCCAGGCCTACGTGTCTCCCAAGAGCTCAACAAGGTATGAAGTGCAAACTCATTTCACAGATACACAAATAGGATCAGAGAGATTAAGTGGCTTGCCCAGGATCACTCAGCAAGTGAAAGTTGGAGCCAGACAAAAAGTCCAGGTCTGACAGATTTCTACACTCACATACTAACTCACACACATGCACACACCTCAACCTGACCCTGAGCTGAGTGGGCTGTGGGTCAGGCTCCTGTGCAGTCAAGGAGAGGGTTCAAAGGCCAGGAAGTCAATCATGACTATGGGAGGCAGCCCTCTGTCCACTCCAGGTTGCAAGCTGCCATAGGGCAAGTCAGACCACAGGGGCCCCAGGCCCCTGGGGCATCCTTGGTCCTCAGTCTTTCTATCTGTCAAATGGGGTACAGGGAGCTATGATCCCAGAACGTCCTGCTGGAGGAGCTGCCTGCCCTATTACACCTGCCGTGGCTCCCACTGCCCTCAGCACAAAGAGTGGGTTCCTGCCTGCCTGGCCCCTGTCAACCTCACCTGAGCAGCCTGCAGCCCCAGTGGCCAGCATTGCTGGCTGTGCCCCAAGCAACCCATTCCTCTACCTGACCACAGCTGCGGACACCTCTGCTGAGAAGTCTCCCCGTCGTCCAGCTGGGTTCTTGCAGCCTTGACTTACACGGCCTCTTCTGAAGGTCAGGGACGAGGTCCTGCCTCAGCCCAGCTTGTCCCAGAGCACAGGGAGTTTTATCAATGAGTCAGTCCATACATGGAAAATCGCTTAGAGCTTTGAACAAGCTGAAGTCCCCACCCCCAGGGCTGGGGAACCCTGGAGGCATCTAATGCAACCACAGGAAGACCGTGGCTCCTAGCTGGAGAGACGAGAAGGTGCCAGCCTCCCCCACTGCGGTCTCAGTGCCCTGCACAGTCGGCTTCTCTCCCATTGCTTGGGCACCTGTTTTCTAACCGTGGAACAGGACTCTAGCTCGGCCTCAGGACTTTGCAGGACCCCTCTCTGCCTGCTCCTCCCAGCCCTGGCCTGGCTCCTCCTGATCATTCCAGCCTTCCTTCTGACCACCTCTCGCCTCCCTGGAGTGGTTTATTCTCTGACCTGGTAGCATTGCTTTTCTTTGTCCCAAGTAGCAGATTCTGGTTCCTGGGCTGACCTGCTCTCAGGCTTGCTGCCTGTGTCTCCCCTCTGGAGATCTGGCTCCAGGAACAGCCATGCACTTTCCCATGGAGTCCCCGTCACTGGACCAGACACTCATAAGCACACGTTCTCAGGTCCCACTCGAACTAACCCTTCAGGCAACAGGCAGCTGGTGACCTCCCCAGAGCAGCCAGCCCCCTGCAGCCAGGAAGCACACTCCAGGTGGGACTGAAGGCCACTCCTCCTCAGCTCTTCCCCTTCAGCTCTGTCCCTGCCCCATGCCACAGGGCCCCCTGAAGTAGCCACAGTCCTTGATACCTTCTGAGGCCCAAAGGCATCTGCAGATGCTGCCCTCCAGCTATGGATTCAGTAACAGGTCACCAGGGAAAGTGCAGCCACTTGTCTGGGGACTTTCTTTCCCTCTGGCGTTGCATGGGGCAAGATGCACTGGGCTGGAGGCTGCAGCCAGGAGGGTGATGCTCATCCCTGGGTTCCCAACATCACTGGCTGACCAAAGGTGCCAGGCTCTCGAGCAGGCAAGGAGAGGGTTCAAAGGCCAGGAGGGCAAGTCATGACCAAAGGAGGCAGTGGTGAGGGCCATAGGTACCGGAGGAGTCTGAGGCTGATGGAAATGCACATACGCCTCCTGCTAGGGTCTTCCTGACTGTGCCAGGGAGATGTGGGCCCCAAACGGACAGATCTGATTTTAAAACTGGAGTCCCCTTGCTGTCTGGCTTCCATTGATCCATTGGCCAATATGGTGAGACCTACAGAAGCCGTAAGCAAGCTTCTCTCAGGAGTGGCCTGTTTGGAGACCTGGGCTTTAAAACCAGCTTTGTCCTGTGTTGGCCCCTCCCCACTAGGTTGAAGATTATTGGGGGGCCCAGGGTCCAAGAACCCCGCCCTCCTGCACTCCCACCCAGGGCTCTCAGGCTGGCCAGCAGAGGGCGCTGCAGACCCGCTTGCCTCACCCCTATTCCAGGTCAGACACCTGCTTCCCCACAGGGACACAGGGTCCTGCTGCATTCTGGAGCCCACAGTGTTTGTTCCCCCAAAATGAATGTGGGCCCAAGGCCAGGGCCCACGTCAGGGAGAACCAAGCATTTAAAAGCATCACCCACCCCACTGGCCACGTTGCTGCAGCAGCCCGTGCCTGGCGCCCAGTGGAATGATCCAGTGAATAAACGCTGTGTGGAATCCCGGAGCCTTGGTGACCTCTTCTGTAAAATGGGCCCAGTGTGAGGAGGAAAATGGACAATGTCCAGCAAGTGCCCTTGGGTGCTGTCCTCCCTGCCCACCAAGGCAGCCTGTCAAGCCCATGATGTCTCCAGCCTGGCATGGCACAGCTGGGCACTCCCTTGACCCCACCCACACTTCCTACCTCAGTCTTGGTAAGGACTGCCTTGGCTCCCAACATGGCCGCCACTTATACAGGGGCAGCTCAGCCAGCCTGGGCTCTGTCCTCC